AATGCGGGAACACAAACAGAAAGAGAAACACACACACTCCGCAGTCTTCAGAGAAACAAGGTCAGGATGTATGAGGAGAATGCTTCTCCGCTTAGGCCCCCCCCCACCACCAAAGAATATTTTCACCTGCCTCCTATGCTCTTGGGAAAGAATAATATTCCTTACATTTGATATGGAGCGTTATCACATTAACATGTCTCAAAGTGCTTGACAGGAGTTAGTGTGAAGTGGAATGACTGTGTATTTGTATGCAATCGCGGCAGAGAATTTGCGCACAGGAGTGTCCCACAAACAGGAAGAGGGACCCCCCCCCACCCCCAGTACGTCACTGGATTGTCAGCCTAGACTATGAGTTCAAAGTCCCAATACGGGGCTTGAGTTCTGAACCTTCTGACTCAGAGGGAAGAATTATATCAACTGAGGCAGACCGACACACAAGAGGAAGAAGACTCTACAACAGCCTTGGGTTGAACCCTCTCTTGTCAGTCACTGCGAATTAAAGTTGCACTAGATAGAGGACTGGTTACACCAGAGTGCTCCATCTCAGGAGGGAAAGATACTACAAAAGCTTTCTTTCATCTTATCCTTCTTTTTTCCTATTCTGAATAGCCACACATATACAGATCCATTATTGAACTGCCCACCTTCAAATCCAGTTTAAATTAATCCTAATCACAGGTACCATTGTCTTCTGTGCTGGTTGTGTGGAGACGCCCTTCCTGAATAAATTTCACCTATTCAGTAATACATCTGATTATCTGTAGGAAGCTCATTTAAAAGGGATTAAAGTTGATTATCCTCATTCACTCCTTTACAAAAGGTACAAGTTTTGCATCTTTCACATATTAAAAAAAGGCACTTATTACCTATTAAATAACCAATTCTAAATCATAAACTATAATAATAATAATAATAATCCTTGCATTTGATATAGCGCTTTTCACATCGGGAGGACGTCCCAAAGCGCTTCACAGAACACACTGTAAAGTGAATTGACTGTATATTTGTGGGCGAACGCGGCAGCCAATTGCGCACAGCAATGTCCCACAAACAGTCATAGATTGAAAATGACCAATTTAATTATTGTTTTTGGTTTTTGGAGGGATTATTATTAAGCTCTGTGTGGAATAAGGAAACTTGCCCAAGGTTTCGCCCTGCCTGGAATTGAACTCAGGTCTCTCACTTGCAAAGCGAGTGCTCTAACCACTGAGCTACAGGACTCCTATGTATTATGCCAATACAACAACAACAACAACAACAAGATTCCATTTATAAAGCGCCTTTCACGTCAGGAGGACGTCCCAAGGCGCTGCACAGTTGGGTCATGACCCGAGCAGGGGGGAAATGGTCAGGGTGAGGGAAGGGAGGGAGCAAGGAGGGGGGAAATGGTCAGGGTGAGGGGAGGGAAGGGAGGGAGCAAGGAGGGGGGAAATGGTCAGGGTGAGGGGAGGGAAGGGAGGGAGCGAGGAGGGGGAAGAGAGTCGAGAGGGGAGCTGAAGGAACTAATACAGTTTAATCTCAAGAGCACTAGAAAGGTGTCTATTATCCATCATGTGCAACCATTGCTTACAGGGTTGGAAGAGTTTTGTAAAGAATTAGCTATTTCGTGACACCACTAATTAAATCTGGAACTCTCCCCCAAAAGGCTGTGGATGCCAGATCCATTCAAAATTTCAAGACTGAGGTGGATATTTTTCTGTTAGGTAAGGGCATCAATAGATATGGAGCAAAGGCGTATAATTGGAGTTGAGGTATACAGATCAGGTATAATGAGGTATAATAGGTCTAAATGTCAAAGTATAGAGAAAGAAAATGACCATGGTGTATTTGTCAATGTCAACAACAACAACAAAAACTTGGATTTATATAGCGCCCTCCATGCCGGACAGTGTCTCAGGATGGCATCTCGTCTGTCAAGCCTCTATACATGGATTATGGTCATCTCAGAGATGATTTTTTAATAAACTTAAATTTCTTCTTTTTAATCATCAAATACAGTCATGTCATTCTGCCAGTCATCATGTTTTTTAAAGTGGATTTAGCACCCACTAAGAACCAGTATCTCGCTATTGCCTGGCATATTCTCAATTTGTGTAATGTGTGATTCATCATTCTAACTCAATAAATATGATGAGGTTATGTATTTAATTGTGGTGGCTTTATTCTAGTGTTTGTTTTTATGTGCATCAATATGTAGTTAAACATCTCCCTTCAATAAATACATGAATCACAAACTCAAAAAAACATGGCATGGGTAGCATTTTTACAAAGTAGGTAGGTAACTGCTGAAAACTGCCAGACAGTACTTTAACAGAAGGCAAGTAATATCCTACCAATTGAAGTGATCAAATAATGATTCCAAGAATTGAATCCTGGTGACTGCAATACCCAACACTTCTGATGTATAAAATGTGAGAGCTTAAAAAGACTGAATTTGATGTGACAAGTCTTCGAAAACATTTTCTATTGTATACATTGCTATGATTTTCTTTTCACTTTATATTAAACTTGGTTTGTGTTTCAATTACCATGCCCACATGGAGGATTTTGTTTTGGTAAAGATTGCAGTTGTTTATGTACAGCAGTACAATGTGCGACAATTCAACCATAAAGATAACAGGGTATGCAGCTTTGTGATGTGGAAAGTATTAATATATTAATAATATACATTTTTAAAATGACACAGTAATTACTGTCAATTTATTTCTGTAGGTAAAAACAGCCATTTTTTTCCACGAAGCAGGGTTCACAAACAGCCCTGAGGTGAGTAACCAATTTATCTGGAGAATTCTTGACCAGTACACAGGGAGAAACTGTTTTCTCTTTTTGAATAATCATGGAAAATTTACCTTTCACCTGAAAATTCCCATTTGTCCCATCTGTAGGATGGCACCTCCCAACAATGCTCATACCTGGACTTCACTAGAATGACATCTTAGATTAGGAGTTTAGGTTCTGACATGGGACTTGAACCCACAACCTTCTCATCCAAAGGGATCAAAGACTATCAATTAAGCCAAGATGCTATTCAGGTGACGAGATATGTTCAATTTTTGCAAGAAACACATCAAAACCAGGAAACATATTTAATTCATAGGGTTTGAATTGAGCCATAAATCAGAATCAGTATCCATGATTAATAGATTTCATATATTCAAACCTCAATGGAGTCGCAGGAACAGGATGCTTTTCAATAACTGAAGTACATCATGTAGACCTACAGGAACTATGCTCCAATGAAATCTACTTACTGAATGGAGTCGTCGTACGTCAACAGAATGATTTCTCACAGAGCCATGGTGGTTATTGGACCAGGACTGCAATTTTGCCCCAGAGATACATTGCTTCCAGGTTGCAAACTCTGGACTGTCCAGCACCTTGGGATGTTGTCCAGAAACTAAAGGCACTACATAAATGTAAATCTGTATTGTATTGCTTCCTCCTTCCCCTTCTCTAAAATCCAATCTTGGTTGTGTGTGCAAATGCTGGAAAAGTTCACAATCACATCTATATCGTGGGGTGATAAAAGCTAGAAGTACAAAATTATTCAATCCAACAGATCTTTCAAATGCCCCTCCCAGGAAAGTGTACAAGGCGAAGCAAAACATTGTATCATGCTGTACATACTGTACGCTTCTTTTAGTAGGTGTGAAGAGGCAAGTTTACTCTACTGAACAGGGAATTAACTGGATCCAAATTCCGAAATGTTGCAAACATCAGTAGTGCAGCATCTCAGAGAATCTTGTTTCATACCAGCGAATGCTCTCACACAGGATTTCATTATAATAATAATTCTTGCATTTGATATAGAGTCTTATTACGACTTCAAGACGTCTCAAAGCACTTCAGAGAATATATTAAAGCAAATTGAATGTATATTTTGTGGGCAAAACATGCTTCTGTACATTTTGTATTTCTGGCTTTCATTCCTGGTATCACAAAGTTTCAACTTGGTTTTGATTTCCTTTTCCTCAGGCAGTAATTGCAAAAAAAGGCCTCACGTGGAACTTTGAATCATTTTTCCAAGAAAGAGGCAATCAATCAATGTCATCTTCATAGTTACAATGCAGAATGTAAACACCTAACACTTTAGGATATGACTGTACCTGACAGGCACTGACTACAAATCTTACCTGTTATGCACATCCTGTGGTTTTCTCCACTGTGATTAAAACGCTGCGTTAAGGGTCTTTTGACAATTAGAGAAAGGAACATTATCTACCTTGTAGGATCTTTATTATTCTTCAAATGAAAGCTCCTGCCATACTGTCGGATTGAGATGAATGCTGACTAAAATATCAAGCAAGCCATGGAAAAGGGCAGTTTTCTCTTCAGGAATGATATCACAGTACCATTAGGCGATACTGTCCCTCTCTGTTGGCCAGTGTGGATTTCAGACAGCTGCAGTGTGTACAAGATGGGTCTCCCTCATGCCCATTGGGTGTAAGCTGCCTCTGCAGGTCAAGACTTTACTCTGCAACTTATCAAGGTACATCATGACAATTATCTGTACCATTAAGTGATGGAATGTCAACTTTCTACCAGTAAAACATTTTGATCTGTGCATTGATTGTGGGTAATATTTAAGAAAAAATGCCTAATTACCTAAGTGCTATTATATCAAAAGACTTTACAAGTGAACCAAATCCACTGGACGCTTTGGTCACTTGTAAACAGAAGCCAGTGGACAACGTCTCTTTTTCTCTGATGGGAATCAATTAGCATCTAAGCAAGAAGCTGAATATCAAACATGACAATCTGAGTTTATCAGGCCTGGAGATCGATAAGATGATGACTGTTAAACTTAAAATGTGTGAGTACTCTACCCACGGAATGAATACAAGTCGATAAGACCAAGCTCATCCAGTCGTTCTACCCATTTATGTCAGTGCTGAAAAGTCTAGGACCATTTTCTTCCTCTGATACTGGTATGAAAATCATACCTATAGATTATGCAACAGTCAAGAGATTGGGACTGAACAAAAACAACAAAGACTTACCTAGATCAATGAGTATGGCATGTTGTTGGGTGGTTAGTTGCTTTAACAGCTCTTTGTATGGGGTGTCATTTGGTTGTTGTTTTGGGGGCAATTGATGCCTCAGTTGATGCTGTTCTGCTAGAAGTTTCCAGATTTCACCACGGTGCTGTCGAGGTACTCCTGCGCACAGATTTAAAAATGTTTTTATGAGGATAATAATAACAAATAATAATCTTTGCATTCGATAATGTTTAGCTGCAGCCAGAATGAGATCCCAGGCTTGTCCTGAAGAGGAATCAACTTGGTAATTTTCAACGCAATTACCTCAAATTTGTTTTCAAACAGCAGACAACTTTTGAAACCAAAGCCAAATATTTGCTTGAATATGAAAAACAAGTTCCTATTAGCAGGATCAGCAGTGACCCAAACACACAAAGTTCAAACCTACAACAATTTGCATCATGTTCTTCACGAATGATAGAATTTTGGAGAGCGGATGGGGGAGAGGGACTATATGCAAGATACAGCAGGAGCAAGACAGAGGGAGTTCCACATCTAAGGGGCAAAGAATCTGAAAGCATGATGACCGATGCTTGTGTGGAAAGGGCCAGAGACACGCAGCAAGCCTGAGCTCGCTGAGCAGCGGAGATAAGCAGAGGAGTGGGTTGATGATCAGAAAGAGATGGGGTTTGATATGATCATCTTAGAGCAAGGTTTCCCTATAATGGGAATTTAAAACAAATGTACTAGTCACATGTACAAGCTACAGCACTTTAAATTTGAGACACCCAGCAATTACTGAGCTTACATAAATCATATTCAATTTGAAGAAAACCTGAGGGATGTTACCATTGATTTGGATATAGGTACATCTTGAGACCTAAAGCAACGGGTAGATATCACAGTAGATATCTAAGCCTCAAGCAAGATTACAAAATACTTTTCCCACAAGCAACAATTTCCATATATTCAGCACTTTTTAAACGTGTCCAAAATTGACTAGATCTGTTCAGCTGCCTCTGCTTCTTCTAAACCATAGATGTCACTTGTACACTCCCCATCTTCCACACGTGACACTAACTTCCTGGCTTAATTGCGCAAAACTCACCATCTGCTCCTTTGTTCCCACTCCTACATAAATTCCTGCTTTTAACTCCCATCCTGGTACATCAACAACATCCCATAATGTAGTGGTTAGCGAGCTCGCCTTGCAAAAGAGGACCCATGTTTGATTCCCACGCAGGGCGAATCCTTAGGCAAGTTTCCTTACTCCACATCCTTCTGCTTTCCTACCAGTAAGTAGCAATCCAGTTGTTAGTGGATTTGTGGATCGTTTCCAGGAGAGTCAGAATCCCTCAAAAAAAAATTTGATCACTCAATTCACGACTGTTCGTGAGACACTGCGCAATTGGCTGCCATGTTTCGCCCACAAAATACATACTTTACAATATATTCTGTGAAGCGCTTTGAGGTGTTTCACCAACGTGATAAGCCACTATATCAGATGCAAGGTTTACTTTTTCATGATCAACCTTGAAAGGTAATTGGAGTCCCTCATCACAAAGCTAAAAGCAATTTTTCTAAAGATCAGTTTTTCCAATTCAATAAAAACATAAGCAATGTTCTGCTTTCTGGGAAAGTCTGGTACAGTGATAAGAAGACTCTGTTTCATTATTCAACCTCAGGGTTTCATTTTAAAATAATAATATTTCAATAATATTTTTAAAAACACTTTAAAGGAGATAATTACTACTATAAAGAGAGAAATTAATTTTAAAAAACATTGCTTGCCCCACAAGTAGGAACCAATTATTGGGAGAAACTTTGACAAATATCATTGGGTCTCAACCATCTCCTTGTCATCTGGTTTAACACCATCCAGTATTACAGAGACTGGACAAGGTGGCAGAGAGCACCCTAGTCATTGGTGCCTTTGACAGACCACTAGTGGTCTTTGATGAGATGGTCTCGGTGCTGCGGGGCAAGGCAGCAAATAGGGCCTCAAGCAGAGAGTGGAGGGAAAGGTGGGAGCTCTTTGGATGCATCAAGGTCGTTCATTTTGTATATTACAAATAAAAGGTGCGGAAGAGGAAGAATGATACTAGAATCTAAATTGAGGGGTAAAAGGATTCCTTAATAACGATTCCAAGTTACAAATTGGAGTTTCTTCCAGTTGGCTAAAGTGCATCTCATCTGTTTCTTATTGGTAGGAGTTGGCCACTCACCTTGCCCCATGGCGACATGAATCTTCTCCGTGTCGAACTTCACCTTGGCCCTGCCTGGTGTGCTTAGCATTTTCTCCCAAACCAAAGTCACATCCTTTAGGCACAGAGTGATCTCTTCATAATCCAGTTTTAACCGCTTATTCTGCAGGTCACTTTCCGAAGCTGCAAAATAGAAGAAAATGATGGAAAAACACCATATAAATGGGGAAGTCCGAAAACAAAGGCAAAAAAAAGAAACGTTGAGGCAATGGTTGCATTTGGTACAGTACCTTTCACGTCAGGAGTATTTCTCAAAGTACATCACAGGATTTTACTGTAAAGTGTAGCGATGTTATTTTTAACAGCTCAACTCAGGTTTTGGTTTCTAAATTGTAGTATTTCACTGCAGCTCTACAGATAGTGACTCAGCTGAATCAATACCCTGCAAAGCAGCACCTGCTCATTGCTTGAGGATCTACAGGAGATGCAGTAATCCAAAATAAACAAATGGTAGCTCGCAACATTTCCACCCTGACTTTAGGTGCCAGCATTACTCAGATGCTTGGGGGTATTTCAACACACATTTCAATCTCATTCCTCAATAAAGGAATTAGATTAGGAACATCATCACCTATCCTTCCAATTAGGGAATGGCAGGTGCCAAACAACACCAAGGGAACTGAGGTACAGTACATACACATAATCAGTCTAAGCAACTACTGTACAAGTAATTATGTGACTTTTGAGGAGCATTCTAACTAAAGGAATTTCAAACTTCTTACAAAGATTGCCTCAAATCATAACAACCACTGCCGATGATCTGCAGTAAATCAATGGTCTCCACTACCCCGATTCACGTTGAATTTGAAATAAATTCCCAAATTTGCATTGTTTAGAGAATTCCCCACACAACCTGAAAATATTAGTAACCTTGAGATTTTCAATTAGGTAATCGCTTGGGTTTATTATCTGTTCCACCCATGCATTACCTTTCCTTCCCACCCTTCCTCACCTCCCTCCTATTCCTGCCCAGTGGTCTGTCAACACAGAGTGAAGAGGAAGATTTATTCAGTTTACAAATATATTAAATATTAGCTTCTGAACAGAGCGCTGGTTAAGTATTTGCTTGTTAATTTTATTAAAAATCATCTCCTTTCCCCTGGGGTCACAATTATATCGACTTCACTGAACATCCTTTGCACAATAAATGCAAAATACTGCAGATGCTGGAAATCTGAAAACAAAAACAGAAGTCGCTGGGAACACTCAGCAAGTCAGGCAGCATCTATGGAGAAAGGAAAGTGAGTCAACGTTTTGGGTCCACGAGAGTTCTGATGAAGAGTCGTGGACCTGAAAAGTTGACTCACTTTCCTAAGCATCATTTTGCTTTAATTAGGCCAAGCAGTAGCTCGCAGCCTGCAAGTGAAAACACTCGAATAAGGAAGGAGATATGAAACTGATGGAAGTCTTTGAAACTCAGATATTGACATTGATGGTTACTAAAACAATAACACAACATTTGCATAATGCCTTTCATGTCGGGAGGACGTCCCAAGGCTCTGGACAGTCAGTGTTTTGGACCTGAGCTGGGGGTCAGGATTCGGGAGGGTGGAGGGCAGGGGGGGGTGGAAGCTGGGAGTTCGAAAGCATGGTCGAAGAGGAGGGTCTTGAGACGGGTATTGAAGGAGGCAATAGAGGGGATGAGGTGGAGGGACTGCAGGATGGAGTTTCAGAGGGTAGGGGCAGAGTGACTGAAGGCCCACCCGCCAATGGTGGGGCGGGCGAGGCGGGGGACTTGAAGTAGGCCGGAGCCCATTGAGTGGAGGGAGCAGGTAGGTTGGTAGGGGGTTAGGAGGTTGCAGAGGTAGGGGGGAGCAAGCCCATGGAGAGCTGTGAAAGTGAGGACCAGGATCTTGAACTGTATCCTCTGTGTGATGGGAAGCCAGTGGAGTTGGGCCAGGATGGGGTGATAGGGTCATGGAACCTGGTGCGGGAGAGGACATGGCCTGCAGAGTTCTGGATGATCAGTCTGTGGAGGGAGGAGTTGGGGAGGCCGACAAGCAGTGAGTTTGCATAGTCAAGCCTGGATGTTATGAATGTGTGTATGAGGGTTTCGGTGGCCTATGGTGTGAGACAGTGGCGGAACCGGGCGATGTTGCGGAGGTTGGGGAAGGCAGAGAGAGTCATGGCACAGATGTGGGGTAAAAAGAATAGTTGAAGGTCAAACAAGACCCCAAGGTTCTGGACTTGCTCAGTGAAGTGGAGTGTGCAACCAGGGATGGTGATGCTGTCAGTGCCTGAGGTGTGGAGGCGCTAATGAGAGCCAATCAGGAGAGTCTCGGTATTATTGACGTTCAACTGAAGAAAGTTAATTCTCATCCAGGACTTCGAGGGTGAAGGCAGAGAGATAGAGTTGGGTGTCATCCGTATACGTGTGGAAGTTGACCCCCCTGTCTGCAGATGATGTCACCAAGAGGGAGCATATAGATGTTGAAGAGGAGGGGACCAAAGACAGAGCCCTGAGGAATGCCACACGAGATAGTGCCAGGGCTAGAGGAGAAACTGTTTGGGGAAATGAAGTGGGGGTGCTGTGAGAACTACGATCTGAACCATTGAAGTTCAAGGTGAGAGGAGAGGTAGTGGATGAGGATAGAGTGGTCACCAGTGTCGAAGGCAGCAGAGAGTTCAAGGAGGATGAGGAGGCAGAGGAAGCCCTGGTCGTAGGTGGACAGAATGTCATTTGTCACTTTCCAGATTGTGTACATAATGATAATAATTATAAACCTTGCATTCAATATAGTGCTTTATCACGTCCTCGAGACATCTTGAAGCGCTTCACAGAGTACACTGTAAAGTGAAATGACTGTATATTTTGTGTGCGGAAAGTACATACGGTCAAATGTACTTTTTAATGTACCATCAGATTATTTTTTTTACAGTAAAAGCAAATCAATTGAATTTCCAGTTAGTGAGGCAATTACCAAGAAGCTGGCACACCTACCACTGCAAAGAAATCTAGCTTATTTAGCCTCCAGTACACGAGAATCCAGTCAATCAGAGAAGCCATGTGGTCCTAACCAATCTTAGCAACCATGCTCCTTGAATTGTACCTATGGTCAGAAAGGAATTTATATTGTAGAGATCTTTCTCAACATACAACATAAACTGCTCAGTGTCGCAGCCTCCACTCAACCATAATATTTGTGAGCACAGATTTCTGCACCGTTCTACAATAATAGGATTTACAAAAAGCCATCTCAAATCTTCCAATTGAGGTAACAAACAGAAGGTGATGAAACAGTAGCTAATTTTCTCATAGTGTCCCACTCTGGGTGCTATAAATGGATTTTTGGGTCTCATGCACAAAAGTATTTCACGGCCAAAGCCTTGTCGGAAAAAACAGAGGGGAGATGAGGAGAATTATTTTCACACAGTGAGATGTTTGGATCTGGAATGCACTGCCTGAAAAGGTGGTGGAAGCAGATTCGATAACAACTTTCAAGAGAGAAATGGATAGATATTTTAGTAGGACAAATTTGCAAGGCTATGGGGAGAGAGTGGGGAAGGAGGATTAAATTGGATAGCTCTTTCAAGAGCTGGCACCGACATGATAGGCCAAATGGCCGCTTTCTGTGCTGTATAATTCTATGATTCTCTGATAGCAGCCTTGTCACAAACCTTGTAGCTTCTGGTTTTCTTTTTCCATCCTCAGAAGTAGTATCTGCTGAAGTATGGCCTTCCTCCACAAGCCTTGGAGCTCTTTAGGTGTGCGCTTCCTTTCTTCTACAACCGCCCCCAGGTGCCCATCACTACATGTTGCTGCTAAAGGTGACTTTGGCGTTACATCTAGGTCTGAATAATCTGTAGAGATGAACATAATTTTTTAAAAAAACTGTATAAAAAGAGGTAATATAATATTTCTTCAATGGAAATTTTTTCTAACCACTGTGGGACACTGCTGTGCATAATTGGCTGCCGCATTTCCCTTTGAGACATCTCAACAATGTGATAAGACGCTGTAAAGATTGCCCACAAATGGATCTTTTTGTTGAATGTACCAGTCAGTTGGGCTGAGAATTGATTGATTGATGTAAAAGGTCTCCATTAAAGGCTTGCACAAATAAACAAATTTTCAAAGAACAGGTTCTTAAAGTTCGAAAACACCCTAGAAGAATAGATAATTTGGCTGATAAATAACCAGATTTTGGCAGTGACATTAGAACAGACTGTTCAACATGATAAACAATAATTTACATTTATATCTCGCTTTTCACTTTGGGGGGACATCTCAAAGTACTTCACATGGATGACTGGGAGCCAAATTTATGATGGGGGGGAGCAGAGGGGGAAGTGGCCAAAAACACAGTGGAAGAGATGGGTCTTAATGCAGGGTTTCAAGGAAGGAAGCTGCAGCGATTCCAGGATGGGGCAGAATGGCTTGGACGATAGAAGCTTAGAAAGCGATGAAGCTTTCAGTACATACCAAGAGAGGAAATTCCCTACAAATATAAAACGACAAATAGTTATAAGTTTTAAAAAAAAAAGCAAATGCTATCAAAAATCCCACATAGAAATGTGTATAACCTTGTCTCAGGCATTTTTTAATTCAATATTGACCACCAAATCAATGTATTCATACAATTCATCCAAATTGATGACAATTTTCTTTCCAGCTCATCGTATACTTTCCTCAGGTGAATACATTTTGAATTATTTCATCACCTCCAGCCCTTCATGCTACAGTACTTCCCAATCTCATATCCACCCTCTACTCACCGCCACCTTTGGCTCGCCTAAACCTGCTCGGTTATCCACTCCCTCCACGCCAACAGCGTCTAAGCCTTCAGCAACTACACTCTTAACCTTTGGAACTCCCTCCACACCTCTCTCTCATCCTCTCTTTGTCTTTAAGGACCACTTAAAAACCTCTTTTCCTATGCTAATCTCCACCAGTCTCCCTCCCCTTCTCCCTTGGTCGGCACCTGACCCAGTCATTGCATTACGCTGAGCATTGTTATCCTAAGTGAAGGGGCCTCATAAATTCAAGTTATTGTCATTTTTAAATATTTTCACAGGCTCTCTGAAATCAATGCGATCAGGCAGACCAGGAACCTATCATAGAATCATACAGCACAGGAGGCCATTCGACCCATCGTATCTGTGTCAGCTCTTTGAAAAGAGCTATCCAACTCCCCCGCTCTCTCCCCATAGTCCTGTAAACTTGTCCTCCCCAAATAATTATCTACTTCTCTCTTAAAAGTTATTATTGAATCCCAGTCATTGCCAGGACTTTGATTTAATTTCTTATCCAAAAGAAGCGACCTTCGGATTGTCATTTATGATTTTATTGAGCAGTTCCAGCTCAATAGCACAAATTTCCGCACAACACCAAACTTCCGACCCTAAACGTAAAGCTATTGTTGTAAAGTGCCCTGGGACTCTTCCCGGGTGAAAAGTGGAATGTAAATGTAAGATTGTATTGTATAACAAATATAAAAATCTTAGCACCGAAGAACTCACAATGGCCAATTCATGGGACGTTAGTCTGCTGCTGATGTCACTTCCCGAGAGCTACAGATGTAGAGCAAATGAGTCTGCCATTCTGGCTTCCCCATGCTGGTCAGTGTTTCGAAGCAGTAATTGCGTAGATCCGTGAATTTTTTGAGTAAGTGATTGTCAAGATGCCCACCTCAACTAATGCTATAAGTGAACCTGTGCTATAATGAAGCACATTATTATGGGATTTCAACTGTACTTATATAATTTCCTCCAGCCTATGCTTTGCACTTGTGAGACACTGCCCAACTGCTCATTCCTCACTCCATTAATGGTAAATGAGCCTTCAGCCACAATGCCCCCACTCTCTGAACATTCTCCCCAAACTCATTTCCTTTATATGCTCTTTCCCAGCCATTAAACCCGCAAAGTTATTTTTAATGATGCCTTTGGTTAACGCTCAAACAATAGTAATTCTTGCATTTGGTTTAGTGTCTTTCATGTCAGGATGCCTCAAAGAACTCCAGACTTTAATGTAAACTGTGGTGACCGTATTTGTAAGTGCATGTGGCAGCCAATTTCTGCACAGCAATATCCCACATTTGAACAGCCATGAATTGAATGAACAATTTTATTTGAGGCAATCATGGCCAGGACATCGGGTGAAACTCCCTCTCTTTCCAAATAGCACCATGAGATCTTTATCATCTACTTGAATAGACAGACAGGACCTTGGTTTAGCTTCTGATCCAAAGGATGACACCTTTGATGGTGCAGCATTCTCCCAGCATTGCACTGAAGTGTTAACCTTGACTGAATTCAAAGGCCCAGTGTGGGGCTTAAACTCATAACCTTGTGACTCAGAGGATGAGTTCTACTAAGTGAGTAAGTCAGGCTGACAACAACAACTTGCATTTATATTGCACCCCTCAGGCAGGGTAGTGTCCCAGAGCACGTGTCCTTACTTTGACACTCCCATCCTTACTTTGTTCTCTGCTTAGAGATCCCAACCACCTTTGTGAAGGGCTTGGAGGCATTCATCCTATTGGATAGGTGTTAAACAAGTGCAAGCTGTTACATTACCACTGAAGTGGTAATGTAACAAATTGTCTGTAGAATTACTTTCCCTCAATCCCTGTGAACCCAATACTGTAATGGTAATATTTATGAGAGATTGTATAAGCCACAACCTAATCTAATTAAGAATGCCACCACATCAAGTTATTAGTCATTCTCAAGAATTTAAAAAATTCTAAGGCTAAGAAGAAAGCAGAAGGAGATAATTAAGCTCATCAAGCCGGTTCCTCCGGCTTATTTTATTTTTTCAGAGGTTTTCCGACATTGCCTCATCTTTTTACCATACTCCTCCATATCGCAACTATAATAATAATAATAATCCTTGCATTTGATATAGCGCTTTTCAGGTCGGGAGGACGTCCCAAAGCGCTTCACAGAACACACTGTAAAGTGAATTGACTATGTTTGTGGGCGAACGCGGCAGCCAATTGCGCACAGCAATGTCCCACAAACAGTCGTAGATTGAAAATGACCAATTTATTATTGTTTTGTTTTTTTGGAGGGATTATTATTAGCCGTGTGGAGTAAGGAAACTTGCCCAAGGTTTTGCCCTGCCTGGAATTGAACTCAGGTCTCTCACTTGCAAAGCGAGTGCTCCAACCACTGAGCTACAGGACTCCACAACCCAAGTATCTTTCTGTTTTCGCTTTAAACAATCCTACCGCTACAACTCTCTGCGCCAGAGCATTCCACACCTTCACAAGCCTTTTGTCCTGTAGATTCTACCCTTTGGTCACCCACCATGAAGTCCCACTGAGCGGCACAGTGCTCAGGATGGTGAATGGAGTACAGGACAGTGATTGTGACACCCAGACCAGTCTTCCAGCAGCATAAGAAGCACCACAATTCTGTCATGAATACCTGGAACAGATATACCAAGTCTGTCCTCTCCCTGTGCCATTTAATACATAATTGATGAATACATAGAATAAGGTGTGTCACAGTGGACAGCCTTGCCGTACTCCCCTTTTCAAGAGGGATGGGCTTGATGATTTTACAGTCAACCCCGACATGGATCTTGGAGACAGAATACACACTGGCTATATATTGGCTATATATCTCCATAGCTTCCAGTTTCATCGTGCGATTTCATGAGGCATGAGGTCAAAGCCTTGCAGGAAAATAGATATAAGCAATGCATGTGGACTTCTCTGAGCCTTATAATGTTCCGTGGTCTCATACAAAACCACAACCTGCCCCACACACTCCTTCCAAGAGGTGTTCCTAGTTATCTCGGCTCAAATTACCCTCCCCTTGTCTCTCACAACCATCTTTACCCATATGAAGCCCACCACCTAATGCCTTAAACTCCCCCTCACCCATCCAGCTGCTGACACCCAACTCCCCCTCCTTTGCCCTCTGCTGGTGGTAGTAATTAACCAGTTAACCTGTCACTCTCCTCCGCATGGTCTTGCTCCCCCTCAAAACTGCTGTCACCACCCGCTTTCAAAAAAAAACACTCTTGATCCTTCATGTTTCACAAACTATTTGCCCAACTCAAACTTGTCCTTCATCTCAAGTCCGGAGTGAACTGTTGCAAACCACCTTTGTGCACACCTTTCCCTCCACTTCCCTACTCCCTCCAGTCTGTTTTCTGCCCTGCCCACAGCACTGAGACAGCCATCAACAACAACGACTCGGATTTATATGGTGCCCTCCACACCGGATGGCGTCTCAGAGCGCTTCACAGTAATGGATCCCGGGGCCGAGCCAGTGGGAGGGGGAAGGTGACCAAAAATGCGGTCAAAAAGAAAGGTCTTCAAAGTCTTAAATGATGTTCTCTCTATCTGTGGCCAGGGCTTCCTCTGCCTCGTCGTCCTCCTGGATTTCGCCACCACCTTCAACAATTGATCATGCCACCCTCCTTGACCATCTCTCCTCACTCATCCACTTTAGTGGCACCGCACTCTCCTGTTTTGATCCTACTTAACCGAGCACCACAGCCGTCTCCACAAATGGTTTCCCCTCCTGCCCCTGCATGGTCACCTATAGCGTACCACAAAGTGCTTTCCTTGGACCCCTCCTTTTTTTCATTTACATGCTTCCTCTCGGTGATATCTGCAGATACACGTTTAACTTCCAAGTGTGTGGATGACACCCAAATCTATTTTAACTCCTCAAATCATGACCCAAGTCCACCCATGTTCTGTCTGCTGGCTTGTCAGATATCAGGGGCTGTTTGAGCACCAACTTTGTGCAGCTGAATGTTGACAAGACGAAAGTCATACTCCTTGGCTCTTGTCAACATCTTCATACCTATACCACCTCCTTTATCTCCCTGGCCTGTC